AAAAGTGATGAGTTGTGCTCCACTTATACAATTTTCAAATATATGTGAACTTATAAGCCTTCTATTTTTTTCACAGAACTCAGATGAATTTATTTCGAGAAAGCTTGAAGAGCTGCTTAATCTGATGATTGAGGTTCTTCCTTATTGTCATTTCTCGGCCAAGCGTCATAGGCTTGACTCTCTGTATTTCTTGATTGTCCATATGTCAAAGGTGATTAGCAAGATCTTGAAATTCATTTACTTGCAAAAATCTTGTTGCTGAGAATGCATGGAAAAATTGTTTGTCTGAACTCGAGCATGAGAATTTATCTGCACTTCTACACCTTTGGCTGCAGGATTTATCTGGGCAGAATCGGCGTGACATCATCTCTTCTTTCCTGACTGAAATAGTTCTTGCACTGAAAGAGGTATAGCTTCTTAACTGCCATAATTTTCTTTAGTTTTTGCTGTATTTGGTTTGTTGGTTTCCCGACTGATATGGTAATTGCATTGAAAGAGGTACAGCATCTTAATCGCCATGACCTTCAGTTTTCTGCTGTATTTGGTTATTTTATTATTATAAGGGGCGATTTTGAAATCCAAAGTTTCTTGAGTTGCTTGTCTTGCAGTGTCTAATTGAAGAGTTGTTCTTGGTTGTCTTGCTATGTTTTAGTATAGCTTGGTATGACATGCTGTTCGGGATATTGATGAGGTGGTTTTGTAGCGAGGCTTCACTGGGTGGTTGAGAGGTGTCAACAATCATGGGAAAAATGGCTTGTAATGGTGAATTTTTGGGGAAAGGGGAGGAGGTTCAGGTAGTGAAGAAGGTGTGGTGGTTTCAGTAGAAGTGGAATGTGAGGCATGACTTATGGTACCCACTGCCATTCCAATATACACAGCTAATTGATAAAAGTAGAATCCACTACTTGGGTTTTAACATTGTAGTAGGGGCTAAGTACACGTGTCATATCTGACAAGTAAAATTATGTTCCTTATGATTTTCAAATTACAATGACTTCACGTTTTACTTCTCATATCCTTCCTAATTTTAATTTCAGCGACTTCTCTTCCTGTGGTCCTTCTAACATTGGTTTGGAATTGTAAGCATAGTTAATGTTGACATGATCATTTATGGAAGGTTCAATTGCATATTATTCGTAATCTCAAAAGCTACAGACACACTTGGTGATCATGACAAACCTGGGGAATGCAGTTCTAGAATTGGATACTAATTTATAATAGTTTTGCTTGGACAAATATGGTATTACTTCGGATTATCATTCTTTTTTCTTGAGTGAGGGGGGATATATATATATATATATATATATATTGGGGGGGGGGGGGGGGGGGAGGGGGGAGAGAGAGAGAGGTTTCTACTGTAAGTGTGTGCACATTCTGTGAAACCTGGCTTACAGCTTAATGCAGTTTTAGATACAGTAAAAACGTCTCATTTGCTTGTATCCTATCTCCTAGGTCAATAAAAGAACAAGAAATAGAGCATATGATATTCTGGTTCAAATTGGACACATATATGGGGATGAAGATAAAGGGGGCAGAAAAGAAGACCTGCACCAGTTTTTTAACATGGTACAGAATCTTGGAGTTCTTACCTATTGAAATATTTCAATTTTGTCTGTTTTCCATCTTAAAGATGCATATCTTACTGTAATAGGTTGCTGGAGGATTGGCTGGAGAGACCCCTCAAATGATTAGTGCAGCTGTGAAGGGTTTAGCTCGCTTGGCTTATGAGTTTAGCGATCTTGTTTCTGTTACTTATACAGTTCTTCCATCCATGTTTCTCCTCCTCCAGAGAAAGAACAAGGAAATAATCAAGGTTTGCTTTACCAAATAGATAGCTACACTTGTGTTGATGTAACCTTTGTTGTAACCAGTTAATCTTCAGGTTGTCAATCATGAAATACTGTGATCCTCTAATATTTGCTTCTAATGTAGGCTAGTCTAGGATTGTTGAAAGTGCTGGTCGCTAAGTCCCAGGTTGAATGGTTGCAAACACACTTAAAAGGAATGGTGGAGGGCCTATTGAATTGGCAAGATAGCAGGAAGAACCATTTCAAAGCAAAGGTTTGTCTTTCCTTTCCTTCTGATTGCTTCTTGCTTAAATTTGGAATCTAATTTCTTGGTTGGGTAAGGTTCACATATTTTTGCACATGGGAAAGCACTACGCATCCTATTTTTGTTTTAACTTCAGTGAGGCCATTTTGAAAACTAAATGAATTTTGTAATATTTTTTACACAAATTGGAAATTTTTCTTATTTTTCTCATTCAACATTACTTCACTTTGTACATCAGACCTGACTTTCTTCGCGCAGGTTAAAATGCTATTTGAAATGCTTATCAAAAAATGTGGTTTGGAGGCTGTTAAAGAAGTCATGCCTGAAGAACACGTGAAACTTCTTACCAACATAAGAAAGGTTTGTTGGAGATTGCCTGAAGAAAAGTGTTTTTGAAAGGCTTGATCAGGAACATTTATCATATTATGATCATGCAGATTAAGGAGCGCAAGGAAAGGAAACTTGCTTCCAACTCCGAGGAATCCAGATCTCATCAGTCAAAAGCTACTACATCCAGGTTTTTCTTTCTTCCATCTTTGTGAGCCTTTGAGCTTGGAAGCATGCTGGTATTACTCTGTTTCTGTACAAAATAGGCATTAAGCATGTTTAATGTAGAGAGATTTAATGTATTTACTGCATTTTTACAAGAAATTCTAAGCTTGACAAGCACAGAATTAGGAAACCTAACAACTAAGCTTCATTGTTGCGAATTTGGTAAGGTACCACCCTTTGGAGTTTGTATTAGTTTAACTAGGATTTTATTGTTGCTGTAGCCGAGCTTGTTGACTCTGGAAATATACTTTAAGCACCTATATCCATGTTCTCTCTCTCTATCTCTCTCTCTCTCTGTGGGGCAACCCTAGTACAGGGTTTAGAATTGAGCAAGAATTTAGAGTAATATATGCTAAGGAATTATTAAATGGACTTGGATAAAAGCATTATGGAAACGTTTGAGCAAGTCTTATAGCTGATTTTAGTAACATGTTGTAACAGTCGTGGTGATTCATTGGCAATACAAAGATAGTATGGTTCCTCACATAATCAGTCGTATACTTCTTTGTGACAAATTTTTCAATCTTTTTACAGGCGGAGTAAATGGAATCATACCAGGATATTTTCTGATTTTGATGATGAAGGAAGTGAGAACAGTGATACCAATTTCATGGATGTGAGGACACTTAATGGCCGGAAGATGGACACGTCATCAGTGTCAAAATCCAGAGCATCGTCACATAGGTCAGTTTATGGACATTTAGCTTTTTACATCTTTTTAAACCAAGACCACATGAAAGGTTTAGGATGGCAGTTTCATGCTCGTTAGTGAGACAGTGATACGTACTCCGAACTGTTAAAAAGTAGAATCTGTATGTTTTGATCATCACTAGGTCTGTTTCTGAACCTGGGGTTTCTATGCTAGCCAATTGACTAATAATAAGAAGTTTAATATTTGCATTAGAGCGCTTTTGCTTTAAGCTTTCAATGAACAGTAATCTGAAAAGTACTTATTTGCAAACATCTAGGATGCGTAAAGCTACCAAGGGCTTGCAGGAAGACTTGCTTGACCAAGTAGATGATGAACCACTCGATCTGCTGGATCGACAAAAGACACGATCGGCTCTTCGATCATCCAAGCATCTAAAAAGAAAACCTGAATTGGACGATGAGCTAGAAATAGATGCTGAAGGACGGTTGATTATCCACGAAGGTGATAAGAAACAGAAGACAAAAAGAAATGTGTCATCTGACCCTGACACAGATGGAAAGAGCCATGCAGATAGTCATTTGTCAATAAATTCTCGAAATACCCAGAAGCGAAGGAAGACATCCGAGTCTGGGTGGGCTTACACTGGTAATGAGTATTCAAGCAAGAAGGCTGGTGGGGATTTGAAGAGGAAGGATAAACTTGAGCCGTATGCTTATTGGCCACTTGACCGCAAGATGTTGAGCCGGAGGCCTGAGCACAAGGCTGCCGCAAGAAAAGGCATGGCTAGTGTGGTGAAGCTGACAAAGAAGCTCGAAGGTAGGAGTGTCTCAAGTGCACTTTCCATGAAGGCAGTAAAATTGAAGAAGCATAAGAAGAAGGATGGCCAGAAGAAGACTAGGTAGATGCGAGACATAATTTTTTTCAGCCAGTGGGAGAAAGCTGGAAGGTACCGTGGTGGTTTTTTTGTACTTATGCCATGGCGGTCTGCTTTTGTCGAGACTAGAGTCGTCAAAAAGAGATGCAATTGTGTGTGGTGCCGGCTGCTGAAGATTTTACACAGGAATTGATTTTTAATTAGCTCCGGCTGTCATTTTGTTTGGTTCATGAAGGATCGAAGGGGAATTTCTCATGTTGGTCTCTGCTTCTATAACTGGAGGCACGAGGGATAGGATATTTTCAATGATCCTAATGATCATACGTGCTTTTGTTTTCGATATTGTATGTGATATGGTATCAAACCGAGAGAAAGTGTATTCTTCATGTATATATGCACGTGTTTACAGATAGTTTTGTGAAAAAAAAAGGGAAATCCAGCTATATTAGCAATAAAGAAGATATATTGATTTTTAGAACAGTGACAAGCCAAAATGGGCAAGTGCATTTTGGCTGAAGCATGTCTACTTGATATAATTATTCATTCATCATCATTGACCCTTTTCAAGCATGGATAAAGAGGCCAAATTCCAACAATTTTCTTTGGTATTATTGGCATTTACAGCATTTTATTTACCGCTGCAAAGTAATGATTTTGCAGATTTACAACGAGGGCAGACTCACATTTGAGCTTAGCTTTGGTGGTAGAAATTTGGTTTAACAAGTTCGTATTTGAAGGGATCCGGGGCGTCTACATCCGCCCCTCACCCTATTTTGAAGTAATTTTTCTGACATATTCATTGCCCAAAATAAATTCGGATGTGATGTGAGCACGAAGTGTTCGATTATGATAGTTGTTTGACTTCTTCAATTGCCCTCCGTTGGACCGGAGGAAGAACCGTCAGTTCAATAAAAAATAAATGCCACAGGCAAATTTTTTAGATCAAAATTTAGTGGTACAGGTCAGCAATAATTACTTGTACAGGGAGACGGCTAAACCAAGCACAGGCACCTTGTATTGTCGCAATGCCCTCTAGTTCATATCATCATCAAAGCCCTACAATAATTATATGCATGAAATGAAGGGAATGTCTGGAGGGAAGAAATCCAATAAAATCTGCAATAGGTTCATGGGATTCAGAGGAGCTCGTGTTTTTCCCTTGAATAGCACCCCAAAAGACCCTTTGTCCGGGCACAGGCAAACATCCAATTCGTTCGGGAAAAGGAATCCAGAGAATATCACTAAGTGCACTGCGCACTAGTATATGATGCATTCTCAGTAAAGCAGCCACAAGAGCCTTGAGGATTTCTGAAGTACTCGAAAAAGTTAAAAAGATTGAATATCTTCCTGAGAATCAAGTTACATACATATCATGTTTCTTGTGATTCACACTATCAAGAGTAAGGTCACCTCTGAGGGACAACCTCAATAGAAATATTTATGAATATGATTATTCCACGTAAACCAATGAGTACATACCTAGAGCATCACATCTGGCAGAATCAAGCCCCCCCAAAAGAAATTCACTTGTATGGAGCGAACAATATTGAAGAGTTGTGCCCACCAAATCCAAACGAGTTGGACAAAGCTATTTTAATATCAAGTCGTTCTTTCTCCGGGCCAACCAACAGTTTAGTGTCCTGATTCAAGGTATAAAAGCATCGTGTCTTGTCAGACAGACCCCGCTTGGAAACAAAATGATAGCATAAAAAGTACTCCACCCCTAAAGTCCAAAATACGTGTAAGCATGAAATGCATTTTCTTCTTCAACATAAATACAAATACATATTAAGCATTTTTACTAGCAGGATTGGCATATTATGCAAGAGTGTATGCAGGACAGTTATTAAATAATGCAGCATCTGGATCAAATCAGCAAATGCTATTAGACAACATTTCCTGACTAAGCTAGAAATTGTTCTACAGTAACAGCAAAAACCACCATGCCATAATCCCACCAAGTCCCTTCCAAAGCAATAAAAGATGCTACAGCAGTCACTCCACAAGCAGAGAAAACTAGATACTATAAGCATTGTAAACATACCACGTCATCATCTGGGTTTTCAAGATTGATGTTTGGATGAACCCATCCTGTCCTTATAGCCTGCAAGATAAGAAATTCCAATTTATACAGTCAAGCAATTCATTATGGCATCATTTTCTATAGATAGCTCATATGAAAAACATTACTGCAAAAGAAGATGGCAAGAACAAAAACTTGATCAAATACCTCAAGTGTACTACTTCAACAAACATAATGGTTTCCAAGAAAACCCTTCAACAAAAGATACTAAATTATATATTTCAATTCAACAACAAAGTAGCTCAGGTTTCCAGTAAAAAGCTATAAGAGGTCCCCTTTATCATGTAAATTGACAATTATGGCTTGTCTAAGAAGGTTAACATCAGAAACACTCAGTCATCTAAGGCTGCATGGAGTGCTACAAGTTATAGAATTCAAGCTAATGGACCTAGTCCATCACTAGCCTTGTCTGAAAAAAGAACAATAGGAGACGCACAAAGCTGATCTTACAAGGGGAAAGTGTGAGTTAAATTACTATTGATATCCTCTTTCCACTCCATGTCGTAGCTTCCAAAGTTCATATTCCTGGACTACTGCAGTTACATACACAGCGTCTAACTTTGTAAATAATGACTACAGCACAAAGTCTGCATCTTCATGGCATTGCCAATGATCAAGAAACAGCTGGCAGAGTCTTGTGTCTCAAAAATTTGGTAGCTTGTTTCTAAACTAAAAAGCAATAACGCCTTTGATGTTCAATCAAATTCTCATGAAATTGTTGGCCGCCTAGTAAGAAGCTTCTTTTTTCATGGTTAATATCCAAAGCTCGAATCATGGCTTTCCTTTTCCTTAGCAGCCTGATATATAACCTGGCATCTCTTTTATATTCATATGTAACTAGAATTTCTTGCTTCTACTCACAGATAAGGAAATTATGATACAACTCCAAGATAAATAAAGAGGAAAAATATAGCACTTCCTAATAAGGCAGACAGCATGAGAGTTACATCTCAGTGTTAGCTGCAACCATAAATTCTTAAATAGATGAAAAAAAAATAATACTCACTATGAATACAGATAAATGGCATTTCTAGCATGCCTATCATCCAAAGCATTTCCACAATCATGCAATCGAATTAAAGTTATGATCCAAAAGACACTCCCAAGTTTCTCAGGAAATCATGAATAACACAAGGTACCTGAACGGTAGCAACAGCTTCAACACCCCCAGCTGCTCCTAGCAGATGGCCAATCATGGATTTTGTAGAGTTCACACGTAACTGCAGGAATTGAAAAAAAAAAAATCACAAATCAGAACCATAAAACCCAAAACTGGGAAAAAGAAAACAAATATATCATGTTATAGAAATTGAAAGTAACCTCTTGGTTCTCGCCAAAACAATGAACAAGAGCTTGATATTCCTTAAGGTCTCCAGCGGGTGTGGATGTAGCATGTGCGTTAATATAGTTTACATCTCCCCTAGACACCCCAGACTGAGACAAAGCCTTCTCTATGCACAGGATGACACCAGTTCCTGCTTATGCAAGCAAACTATAAAGGTTAAACCACAATGCCACAGAAAGTTAGTCATACACTGCAGTTAATTGGTGCACTAACTTTTTACTATTTGACCTCCATTTAAGGGTATTTATGAACCCAGCTGTGACTATATTGCTTTGAAGCAGATACAGTTTCCAGATTTTGGGATGTCAAAAGATTCTATCTCATACTCAGATATACTTAAACCAGCATAAAGTGCATCCACACCCACTTGGCTAACCACATATATCAGTTTCAGTAAAGCTCTATGCGCATCTAATGAGAACTTCTTGCCATAAAAAGTTGCAGTATTTTAGCATCAATGTCATGAACCATAAATCAGTTACCAGGAAAATTTGCGAAAGAACAAATTTCTACACTGTGACTAGAAGAACATTCACTCTATCATGTCATCCACAAGATAAAACAAAACCCAGAAGTCAGAACCGGCCAACATGAATTCAATTTAATCATCCAATCATCTTTTAGATAAACCCCATAAGTTTTCACATACATATGATCAACCCTTGGATCTTCAAGCTGCACATGACAGCTTTTGTGGGATTATTTCCACGACTAGTTCAATCCTATTTAAACAAAATATTCAAGGTTGCATGAGCACTTTATTCCTAGAAGTTACAGCAAAATCAACAAGTACTGTTTACCACCCTTCTCTCAATGATCAAGTCAAGAGGATACACATTCTATGATTTCCAATTCATGTTTATCCAGGAAAACAAACATTCAGAATGACTAAGATTTGTAAATCCTGACACTATCCAATCTATACAGCAACATGCGGCTGAAAAAAAGCTCAGAAGATTACCTTGTGGATGTGGCTCTGTCATGTGATAAGCGTCACAAGTGAAGCTTCCACCCAAAAACTCTGCATAAATATTTGCACCTCTTCCCTGTCCATTTGGGAATAATAAATCAATTTTGAAAAGGATAAAATGCAAGCGTTGTTGTTTCATTGACAAAAATACACAATCTGAGTAATGTCTCAACCTAGATTTACCTTGGCATGTTCAAGTTCCTCCAGAAGTAGAACTCCAGCTCCTTCTCCCATAACAAATCCATCACGATTCTGTTAAATAAGAAAATGAAGTTTTTTGTCATGTGCCCAAAAAAAAAAAAAAAAAAAAATAGAAGTTATTTGTCGTACAGAAAGAAACCCGAATCAGATAATCCAATTAGATTTAATCATATACTCCTTCCGTCCTACTTTGATAGTCCTGTTTTTTTTTTCACACAGTTTAAGAAAAAGTAGTTAACTTTGTTGGAAAAGTAAATTTAGATTGCTATTTTTCTAAATTACCCTCACATTAATTAGAGTACAACTTTATGGGAACTTGAATTGATGGTAAAAAAAGAATCAACTCTCATTAAATGGGGTAGGTTTATAGCAACAACAACTTGTATTGAATAAGGGTATTTTAGGAAAATGAAAATACAACTACATTCTTCAATTGGAAAGTGGACTGCAATTTGGGACAGACAAAAAAGGAAAACAAGACTATCAAAGTGGGACGGAGGGAGTAGAACTTATTTTTAAGGCATGATCACGACATTGGTAAAACTTTTTCTTGGCAAGGACAACATGAACTAGGATTAGCTATCTTACCATCCGCCTTTTTTGCTCCAGAGCTCAAGAAACAACTCAGGACTTTGTTATCAACAGTGTACAATACCAAAACTAACAGAAGGTAATATAAACATGGGATTTGAAGAAATTACACTGTCCCAAGGGCGTGAAGCTTTACTTGGGTCACTGTTTCTTTGAGAAAGTGCTCTACATGCGACAAAACCGCCCAATCCTGTAGCCAATTTTATGACATTAAAATTCAAAAACTTATGTAGCTAAAATTAATATAAATCGACTAAATAATACAATGGGTACCAATGGGTATGATGGCAGCATCCGAGCCTCCACAAAGCATCATATCCTGCATGTTCGCCATATGTGTAAGAAAGCATGGCAAGCAGCATGATGTTTTATCTCTGTATAATTACTTGTCATAATTATTTAAAAATGATACACAAAAGTAATATCAAAACAGCTTAGATACATCAAGCTTGACTTCACAAGCAATAATGCAAGACACCTACAGCTTCTCCTCTAATGATGTGATTAGCTGCATTCAATATGCAAAAGTTGCTTGTAGCACAGGCAGTAGATATCGAATAGTTTGGACCCATCCATCCCTGTATTCAAAACAAAAGTATACAATAAGAAAGACATCAACCAGTTTAAGTAATTTCTTCAGTCAGTATTAAAAAGCATAGAAATTAAACTAACCAAATCCATGGCCAGCATGGCAGAACCCATGTTTGTGGTTGCAAAAGGTACGCAAAAAGGATTCATCTTCTTGTATGAGATCCGTAAAGCTTCAATTGCATCATTGAAAACCTGCCCCATTCACAAAAATTTCAGGAAACCTTAAAAATCAGTTAATAAATTTGGACTAGTGTTTAAAATTTCACAAAATCAATGGTAATAAAGAATTTCATGTCCTTTTTCCTATTCAACAAAGGGATGTGAGAGTCCAGATACATAGTTTATGTCAAAAGTTTTTCTAAGATCTCTCAAAAGTTTTTCTAAGATCTCACAATGACAGACGCTAAAAAGAGCACTAGTAAAAGTAGTCGTCATTTTTGTTCTCGTATTAAATGCTTCCATTATGGCCATCTCTCTTTTAGCTAAAGAAAATTGTAGAGTGGTTCAAAGGTTCAACTTTCCAGCTTAGAAAACCAGATAGTGCATGAAAACCATTGAGTTCACAAGGACCAGAGTACTGCTTAATATAATCAGTGGAAATGATGAAGGACAGTATATGTAAGAAGGTCTAGATATAAAATCTGGTCAACTCATCTAGGTAACCATCATGGTCATTACATAACATCCTTGTAAGCACTTTTACAAATTAAGCACGTATGCAGCCTTATTACCAAGTATTTAAACCAAACTATGGACACAAAAAGACAGCAATGGTTCCAATTCCTACATGTGGAGGCATTCATGAAAACCCAATTTGAGATCCATCAGTCAACTCTCTACTAACAAAGACACAAAACAGAAAATTTACCTGCATCCCACCCATAGCTGAGCCAATCAACACCCCACACTTAGTTTTGTCCAGTTCATCCATAATATCTTCAGTAATTCCACCATCAGCCAATGCCTTCTTCCCTGCAGTCAGCATGTAAAGCATGAACTTATCCATTCTTTTAGAAAGTTTAGGCGCAACCCAACCATCTGTTGTGAAAGATTTGATCTCCCCAGCAATTCTCTGTTTTTGAGCATAAAGATTGAATTATATACCAGTGGTATCCACCCAAAAAAAAAAAACCAAAAAAACAGAGATCATTAAGATGACATACTGTAGGGAAATTGGAACAATCAAAAGCCTCTATCTCACTTATGCCACTAGCACCTTGAAGCAAATTAGTGTAAAATACATCTGGATTATCACCAAGAGGAGTCTCTACACCCATTCCTGTCACAACCACTCTCCTTTGCTTGGTGGGAGGTTTCTTCTTTGGAGCAGCTTCCATAGTAGGCTGCACTGCTATGGCTACTGCTTTCCCTGAAATACTCCATTTCAATAGATGGAATATAACTTACAAAGAAAAGGGGTGCACCAGAGTGGCTTAGATTGCAGAAAAAGCTAACATCATAACAATTACTGAGCGGAAGTGCAAGTTAACAAGAAGTCTAAATAGGTGAAGCAGAACCAAGCAGTGAATAGCTGCATTGATTCTAAAAGATCACATTTCTTTATGATTTTGAAGGAATTAGCATCTGGAAACCTAAATCTAGTGAACTTATACTGTTATTGCTATGCATCCTCCAATTTAATGGCAGCAACCTTGAATATAAGCCATCCACATAGCTGCTCTGAGAGCAATTGGGTGGATATAAATCTCACAGGACAGCACATGTGAAATGTCATTGGCTGCAAGTTAACCAATAGCAGCTCTCTCTTGCAGAGCTAATAACTTGTGCAGTTTTCATGCATAAAGACTGAACAGCATGTTGCCACCAACCTTCTTCTCAAATACCAAACTTGTGAAAGTAGATTTCACTAATACTCCTATTTATATAATATACTGTATTGAAAAAAAAAGTTCACAATATTCAGATGATTACAATTTTCTTAAGTAACAAATGACCAAAAAATAAAAATAATAGGAACTGAAGCCTGCCTGAGTTTTTTTTTTTTTTTTTCCTTTGGGTTACATTTTTAAAGGAAAAAACAATGCAATAAGGCCCCCGGCACTATAGGGTCTAACACGAGCTAAGAATCCGTCTGTAATCTCTATTACCAACCCAAATGACAACAGATAAACCTTACAGTTCAAACCAAGGCCTCACCTTTAAGTCAAGTCCAGATCCCAAACAACATAAAACCCATAACATTTAGCCAAAAGCACTAAAAACCAGCAAAAATACAATCAAACAGGCAAATAAATGGCGAAATTCAATAAAAACACGAAAACGAAGATTACCAGAATGGACAGGTTGATTGAGCTTATTGCGCCTGCCATGACCGAGAGCAAGAGCTCCGTTATCACCACCAGAGAAGAAAGGGGAAGAAGAAAGGGCTAAGGAAGGAAAAGAAGAAGAACTATTCCTGCAAAAGTCAGGGCAGGGCTCAAAGGCCAAACAAGAACTCATAAGATTACGAATTCTAGAAAATTGAGGGGGGCCAGCTGCACATTTGGGCGAAATAGGAAAAGCCCTCCTCCTTTTACGAGCAGCCCATTTGGTAAATCGCGAGGACAGAGATGGGTCGGAGCTCAACATCGAAATGGTCGTCTTGGAGTCATTTTCACAAGCAACTGACATGCATGCCGCCATCAGCCATGAACACACCACGGATGAAGCCATCCCTTGACCCCCCTCAACCCACCAATAATTGCCAACCACCCACGTCAAGATTATACGTATACCGCTAATCAACCTATAAACATGCATAAAAAGTATCGAAACTTGCTGAAATGAAGTACAACAACGGAGACGATGGAGGCACAAAAGGATGCTAAGATTGGGATGGTGAGGAGAGCGGATGGGACATTGGTTTTTTGTAAGCTAGTTAGTAGTGTATTTCTGAATCTGAGAACGCTGAGGCAGAAGCCCGGGGGCCTGGGTGGTGGGATGTGGTGATCGTACGGACTATAGAGCTGTCGTTTTGTAGCGTGCGTTCCACCGTTTGGACTGGGAGACGCCAAGCAATGCTGGGAATCATATATATATATATATATATATATATATATATATAATAAAGCCGTATTCTCATACTTATCCTTAATATTTTCTCTTTCCTACGTGGCTTAACGAGACGGTAAATAGTTTCTTACGTGGCTTGCTCCTTTTTTGTTTGGATATATATCAATTCTTATTTCCTATAAAAATTTTTAATATTATATGATTCTTATTTCTTACCCGAAAAAAGAATTGGAAAGTAATGCGATATAAATAAAAGATACATAAATCTCCTTTATTAGATATATAAGAATAAATGATAATATATTTTTTTATAGTGTCCTATTCTTTTTTTTTAACAACTTCATCATAGATCCTTTTTATTTTAAAATAATTTACCTACATATAGAACAACATACAAACAATCTAGACATGAAAATTAAAAAAAATTAACTCGAGAAAGTTTTTACAAGACTCATAGTCCCCATGCATAATTAATGTACAAAGAGAAATGGCACTTCATTTGATTGAAAATTTCTGGAAAAGTCCATAAAGAAAATAGAGTGTCATCAACCAAAGAAATAAAATCCCATTATTATAGCTAAGGAAAGATGAGATAAAACATTAGACATTTGTTGAAGTTTTGCACCCCGAAAGCCTCTACCCAACCCTCCGTCCATAGTGTCCTCCAATCCAAAAAAAAGGCCTCCGTCCGTAGTATCTGTAGTGTTCTCCGTCCGTCTTTTTTTTAATATATTTCTGCTAATAATTCATTAATCACAATACATCTCTACCTAGATGGTGGGGAGTATTTCGTGTGTGGACTCACATCATAGGAATCCATGCACTTAAAGGACTTGATATGGCGGAGGTAGTCTTTTAAAGTCGGTAAAATCTATCTTTATAACGCATTTGTAAATTTATTACGTACATGTTTATATACGTACATAGTACGGGTCACATAAGGTCTTATTTCCTACCCAAAGTTATTTGGACGATTATGGTTTTATTTCCTATAAGAATTATGAATATTATAGGATTCTTATTTTTTACCAAAAGTTACGTACTTTAAGCAACTTAAATTAAGATAAACATACATTTAATGTTCTTATCAATATTTCTTTGTATCCTTATCAATTTTTATTTCTTATGCCTGCACTACATATAGCCACTAATATATTGATTTCAAGCATCAAATTCATTGTTAGATATTTTCAGTGCAAGCGGTTGGCATATTAAAGTATCGATTTTGGGTTTCCACTCCTATTGATTATCAGATACATCTTCTTTCAATATATATATATATTTTTTAAAAAGGCATGCTGATCTTCAATTGTAAGAGCTTACTAACATATCTTGAATTTTATTTTTTTATTTTTATTTTCTATTTGTTTTGTATGAAGACATAGGACTTAAACAAGTACTTTCATCGATTTTTTTTATAGGATTTTTTCTATCGTGTTTATTAATTGATTTTTGTGATAATATACTACGATGTTTGTTAATTTGCCTTCAGGAAAAATAACCAAAAACAAAAAGCACTGGAAAGTAATGCGATATAAATATAAAAAATATAAATATCTCTATTAGATATATCTGCAAATTCATTAGTTAATTAAAGGACTCTGGCCGTTTACTTAATTATAATCTTTACGTATTGTTATACACAACCTTGAATGCGATAAATCATTTATTTTTTTATATTTAGTTATCCTACTTTGCTATCATGCAGTGATAATAGAAAATCAATAAATGCTGATTTGCACGGACAAATCGAGTATATATGAATCTAAATATTTCTGAAGTTGCAGATTACTTGAATTGGCAAAACTATATATCTTTAGTAAATGTTTGTTTAATATTTTCATATATATTGTATATAAGTAATTAAGATAAGATTGTTATTAGCGTTGATAGCACTGCTCCTCAAACTATTGAGGTTTTACATCCTCAAAAAAAGCGAGAAGCTATACAACAATTAATGTTCAAGAATCGAAAATTATTATCAGAGATATATCAAATAATAGCCGGTGTTTAAACAGAGGTACAATTAAAGTTACAAGTTACAATTATAGCACATTAGTTTTCACAATTAAAAATATTAATTATTTAAATTGACTGCTTAGATCTTTTCATTTCTCTAGAAATTGGTTTACACTTCCAAAGTGACGATTCTGAAGGTTGATTTCAATAGTCAACTATACTACAAAGCATGTCCAAAATGTCAGAGAAAAGTGACATTAGAAGGATCTAATTTTGTGTGCAATGCTTGCAATCAAAATGTGGAGTACCCTAAATTGAGGTATGTCGTAGATGTTAACCTTTTATCATTTTAATTGTTACAATATCTACATAAACATAACTTTTAGAATATGTGTATTTATACAGGTGTATGTTAAAAGTCTTGGTAAGTGATGCAACCTGTAGTACTTGGTTTGTTATATTTGATCGAGAGGCTGAAAGAATAATAGAACACAAACTTTCATTTGTTCTTGAAGAATTTAACAAGTTAAACTTATATCTAATTTTTAATAATAGTAGACAATCCGACACTTATCTTAGCCGTTAAATATTCTAACAAAAAAAAATCTATTATGCATTTCATTTTCAGGAAGGATTTAGCAGTGAAATCGTGTCATCAATTGTAAATAAGACCACGTCGAAACCTTTTGTGTTTCAAATCAAATTGAACAATTACAATCTGGAATAAGATAATAATAGATTTACAGTGACTAGATGGTTCCACTGTGATTTTGGGAGGGAAACGCATTTCATACTTTCACAGGTAATGTGCAATAAATTTCTCTTATATTTCACATATTATATCTCATATAATATTTTTGTTTTTAATTTTGATAAATCATTATTAGATTGGTGGAACCGACAACCAATACCAACCTGAGGCATTTTCTTCTCAAATCCCAATTAGTATAACAGATGATTATAATCAACAACATTTCAATACACTTCATATGAATTATTCATCAGAAGGTTCAATAAAAATCACAGAGGCAGGAAATCCTCATAATAAGATTTGCATGAGAAGGTAAATTTAATATACTATTTTACTTTTTTAAATTATAATTTTTACGTATTGTTATACACAACTTTGAATGCGATAAATCATTTTTTTCCTGTACTTAATTATCCTACTTTGTTATCATGCAACGATAATAGAAAATCAATAAATGCGGATTTGCATGGACAGATCGAGGAGAATGTTTAAACAGAAGAAAAACAAAAACAAGTTTCTGAAGAATATAATATTATTTGATACTATTTACTGCACTTTTTATTTATTTTCAAGTTTTTTAATGTTATGGTATTGTTGAATGATATTTTTTCTATTTTTGAATTATTATTCACTGAATTAGATGTTCAAATTTATATTATAAGAATACTTTGTATTACAATGCGCATATAGTAATATACTTAAGACAAGTTATAATAGATTATACATTAAATTTTTATTTTATATCGATATTTTTATAAAATTAACTAAATAGTTTATTATTTTTCAACGAGCGGGTACAAAACTAATTCATTAGTTAATTAAAAGACTCTAGCCGTTTACTTAATTATAATCTTTACGTATTGTTATACACAATCTTGAATGTGATAAATCATTTATTTTTTTTATACTTAGTTATCCTTCTTTGCTATCATGTAGTGATAATAGAAAATTAATAAATGCTGATTTGCACGGACAAATCGAGAAGAATGTTCAAACAGAAAAAAATAAAAACAAATTTCTGAAGAGTAGAATGTTATTTGATACTATTTACTACACTTGTTTATTTATTTTCAAGTTTTTGAATGTTATGATATTGTTGAATGTTATTTTTTATATTTTTGAATTATTATTCACTGAATTAGATGTTCAAATTTATATTATAAGAATACTTTGTATTACAATGCGCATATAGTAATATACTTAAGACAAGTTATAATAGATTATACATTAAATTTTTATTTTATATCGATATTTTTATAAAATTAACTAAATAGTTTATTATTTTTCAACGAGCGGGTACAAAACTAATTCATTAGTTAATTAAAAGACTCTGGCCGTTTACTTAATTATAATCTTTACGTATTGTTATACACAATCTTGAATGTGATAAATCATTTATTTTTTTTATACTTAGTTATCCTTCTTTGCTATCATGTAGTGATAATAGAAAATTAATAAATGCTGATTTGCACGGACAAATCGAGAAGAATGTTCAAACAGAAAAAAATAAAAACAAATTTCTGAAAAGTAGAATGTTATTTGATACTATTTACTACACTTGTTTATTTATTTTCAAGTTTTTGAATGTTATGATATTGTTGAATGTTATTTTTTATATTTTTGAATTATTATTCACTGAATTAGATGTTCAAATTTATATTATAAGAATACTTTACAATATAATGCGCTCATAGTAATATACTTAAGACATGTTATAATAGATTATACATTAAATATGTATTTTATATCGATAATTTTATGAATTGACTAAATAGTTTATTATTTTTCGACGATTCCCGTTCAACGAACGGGGACAAAACTAGTTAAATAATGAAATGCGAGTGTAAAGACTGGGACTGTGATTTGTTCATTTGTTGGACAAAATCTGAGTCGTCCTTCCCCGGGGCGGGCAGCAACACGGGGCAACTCACGGCATTATACAAGTCTAGCT